CACGCTTTTATAAATGGACTAAAATTAGAAAATAATATTTCTCAGTCCCATGGAACTTGTTTTGATAACTTTTGATTTTGAAATTTTAGCAAAAGTCTTTATAAACAATTTATGAGATTGAAAATGAAAAGCGTGGGGCGCATGTAATAGGCCTGATTTGAAATTGAAGAGTAATATATGTATGTATGGTATATGTATGTAGGTATATTAATAACGACCGCTTAAAATCGATCTCAAATTTTTACTTTCGCTGTAGAAATTTTAGGTCTATGTTATGTATGTAGTTTGAATATTGTCAATTAAATCTAATGCTTTGTATTACATGCGCTCCACGTTTTTCGTTTTCAATCTCATAAATTGTTTATAACGACTTTTGCTAAAACTTCAAAATCAAAAGTTATCAAAACAAATTCTATGGTAATGAGATATATTATTTTACAACGCTTTTATCAACTTGCAATGTTGTATGTCCAGACCGCTTTGAATGTTGTATGCCTAGACCACCATTTATACTAGCTGCATTTTTTTGTAAGCGAGCGACAAAAGAACGCTCAACTCAGGTAAAACTTCCTTTTACCTACTTAAGCAACCCTGTTGGTAGCTGGCAAGAAAATGTGATTAGTTTAACGGGATTTAGATACAAAAACCAATTTAAATGAGTAATTATGCGAGGTATTTGCGTCTTTTAAAATATAAGTCACGTATAAAAGGAAGCAAAAATTTCCCTCTCCACTTTCCCATGAACAATTCACAATAGAGCAGTTTTTTCACTTACCAACACTAGCCTTCAGGTCGCGTATTTTTTAACCGACCTGGCTGAGCTCGGATAAATAGCCGAGTTTGTGTTGTTGCTTTGCGTTTATTTCGTCATTTAAGCGAGTGTTCTTTTGTAGCTCGGTTGCAAAAGAGTGCACCTACTATAACTGTAGCAAAGCTATTTATGGAAAATTCTAGTTGCTAGCTTCACTTTTAATGAAAAATCATATTTTGATATAGGAGGCTAGATTAATTAAAATTGCATCGTTTCGAAAAGGGTAAAGGTCCTTGTTTTACGTTTTCTAGTTTATATTCAATGAAAATAAAATTTGCTAAGGCCAAAAAAGCTCAGAAAATTCGATAAGGCCAAAAAAAGTTCAAAATCTTTTAATAAATATCGAATCCTTCCGATTCGTATGGAGTTTTGCTCTGCTTTAAACAGGCAAAATGTTGTATTCAAAGTTTTGCGAAATACTTGAAGGAAATGGCTATACGAAGTTTTTTCCTCTCCTGTACAATTTTTAAATTGTGACTTAGCAACTTTGCACTCTACGCTAGCGATATTTATTAAATCAGACAAATTTTAAAGTAAAACATTTTTTTAATTGTATTTAAAAACCATGTGATTGAGGAACGTATACATCACAAATAATAATGTAAATACCAGGTGCTTTTGAAAGTGACGATTAATAAAAAAAAACATAAAACAAAAATATACAAAAACTATTTCTCTAAACATGTCTATTCTACTCTATAAAGAAATGGCGAATGGAGATTTTTTGCCATTTTTTTCGCAATTTACTAGAAATTTTGAGGGTGTACGTGTCAAACGGATCTGAGAATCGGATTCAGCGGGTCGAAATACATGTTGGTAATTGGGTCTGTTTAAAAACACACACCCCTTACTTTGCCGGTGTTGTTATTAGCTGAACTGTCAAAAGGTAGACATAATCCAATTGAAGATAATGACCCCTATCTCCTCCATTACAAAATATTTGAACTTCTTTACCCGCACGTCGTCCCGGGATTCCGGGATCCCGGGATTGGCATCCCTAATATGTATGTATGTGGGCATATGAATAACGACCGCTTAAAATCGATCTCAAATTTGAACTTTCGCTGTAGAATGTTATGTAGTTTGCCTATTGTCAATGAAATCGAATGCTTTGTACTGCATGCGCTCCACGTTTTTCGTTTTCAATGTCATTAATTGTTTATAATGACTTTTGCTAAAATTTCAAAATCAAAAGTTATCGAAACAAATTCTGTGGGACTGAGAAATATTATTTTCTACTTTTTAGTCCATTTATAAAATCGTTGTATATTAAAATGTTTTTATTTTTTTTTATTTTACTTATTCCTTATTCAACCTACTGCTATCAGGTGCAGCTGATTTGCCGCTATTTAAACTTGACAGACTGCTGTCTGATGAGGACTTCTACCGCTTAGACTTTGGTGCTTTTTCCATTTTTCCTAATAAAATAATCGTGAAATGTTAATAAGCCACAATAACATTGAAAAAAAAGAAAAAAAACAAAAATCAACCGTAAGTCCCAGCTACTTTGAACTTGCATTTTATTATACTTAAATTAAAGGGCTAAAAAACTGCATACTCAAAATCTTTCTTACAGGTGAAGCTAATATGGATAAGGTTCATTTCCAAAGAAAGTGTTATTGTTTGTCCCCCCTCTTTAAACTAGTTTATGGTGGTAAAATCGGAAAATCAAATATGATCTAAATAAGGAACCACCAATAAAACTGTTTTTTATTATTTTAAGCCATTTTGTCTTCTTTTGCGAACGGTATTTTTTGATATATTATACCTATTCCATATAAAAATATTGGTCCCCGCCCAGGGTATTCGCTAATCAACACACTGAAAATAGAATTTCGTAAAAACGATACTAAAAAACTTTCGTAGACTTGGTTTTTCTACAACGTATGAAACTTTCGTTCATAATACGAACACATTTTTCACAACGAAAGAAGATTTTACGAACCATTCGTAAATATTATGAAAGGAGTTTCGGAAGGCATTTTTATACCCGCGCGCACTTGTGCATAAGGGTATATTAACTTTGTTCGCATTAGGGTTGTTTTTAACAGCCAAAACGAATCGAGATAGATATGGACAAATGTATACATAAATGATCAGAATGGAATGAGAAGTCGATTAAGTCATGTCTGTCTGTCCGTCCGTAGGCCCGTGTACACGATAACTCGACCAAATTTGATATGTAGGTTGCCCTTTATCCAAGGTAGGTTGATATTGAAAATGGGCGAAATCGAAATGTAACCACGCCCACTTCCCATATAACGGACTTTCGAAAAATGCAAAAACTGCGATATTTCAGTAAATATTACACACAAATTCTTGAAAGTTAGTACGTGGAGTAGAATTATAGTAAAAAATAATATTATTATGAAAGTTTTGGAAAATGGGCGTGACCCCGCCCACCTATGATGAAATGCCGTATCTCAGTAGCCGCTTCACCAATCCGTACCAAACTCGGATCGAGACTTGGGTAGGGTTTAGCTAAGAAACCTGTTGAAAATCTTTGAAATCGGACAATAACCACACCCACCTGCTATATAACGGTAATTTACAGAAACATGAAAACTGCGATAAATCAGTAACTACTGGAGCTAGTTCACTTAAAATCGATGATTACAATAACCAGTTATCAAAAATTCGAATATTAAAAATTTCTGGATAATGGGCGTGGCGTCTCCCACTTATGACCACAAATGTGTATCTCGGTAACCGATTTATCAACTTCTACCAAACTCGGTGCGCTTAATAACCTTGGTACGGAAAAGCAATTTGTTGAAAATTATTCAAATCGGACTAAAATTAAACCCACTTCCCTTATAACGGTAAATTTCAGAAATACGAAAACTCCGATATTTTAATAACTGAGGACGCTAATTTACT